CCCATATAACTATACGCCGTGGGACCCACATTTGACACCTCAGCAGAGTCAAATGAATGTAGACCTCAAACCCGGCACTCTTGTACTAAAACATGACTAACTGACCAGTTTTCTCACTAATGATTTTCTCTTTTATACATTAATAAATTTAAAATTTAAAGATAAAAAAATATGTTTACTTATGATTACTATTACTGTTGATATTGGTTATTCTCTCTCACACAGTCTCATTTCATATTTACATTATAATAGCAAGTTATTTTCTTAAAATCCGACCTCATATTTTCTTAAACGTCTTCAAAACCCAATTTTTTCAACATTTTCTACAACGAGTCAGGTTTAGCGATTTTTGTTGAAGTTTTGGCATTTTAGTTGGCAGAGTTTTCATTCCAAATTCAACTATAATAATGTCAAATAAAAGGGCACACAGTTATTAAAGAAATGAACATGCATCCAGAAAAGACTTCCTGGGATCTTCAGTGGGACAAACATAAAAAATATTTCTGAATTTAAATCTTTCAGCAAATAAAAAGCAAATCAGTAAAAAATGTTATTTGTTATAAATAATTTTATATTTAATAAAAAATCGTCACAATCTAATAAATTGGTGACTTAATAAAAATTCGTCACATTTTTTATAATAATCATAATTTTATAATAAAAATAAAAATAATTATTTCTTATTTAATTTAAAATTTATATATTGACCAATAAAGTTGTCTACGTATTTATTTAATATTCTTATGTATAAACACAAATGTTTAATCTACAATCTTAAAAAACAATCCAAAAACATCATACTTAAAAGTAACTTGAAAATTCAAAAAATTAAAAGAAAATCACAATTACTTTTAATTATTTAAAACTATTTTATAATTTTGTTCAAAAGTCATAATTTTCATGTCTTTAAAATTTAATCTTTATGAAATATCACAAGTCTTAAATAAATATATTGTTTCAAGTGTTTCTCCTAACTCTTTCTCAAAATGTTCTTCATAAGATAGTTATCTTATTATGTGGTTTAAAAATTTATATTTAGAACACAAAAAGTTAATAAAAAAAAGTAAGAAAATCAATTACAAAACTGGAAACTTAAATCCATGTTTTATCTTTTTTTTTTCCTTTAATTGTTCATCAAAATAACCTTTATATTTTATTAATTTTTAAAAATGGGACGATACAAGTAATATTGTTTATGTGTAGAAGTCAACATATAAATAAATAAAATATGAAAAAACAGTTTTATTTTAAAGCAATTACTTATTATTGTAAGTGGGTGAGATTGATTAGCCCAGAATGTGGTGTAGTGGGCCTGAAACAGGTACACCAAATTCTCTTGAACGTCACATACTGGGTCGTTGTTACATTGCAATGGACCACACCGCCATTATTTCCTAATTCCGTTACGTCGCAAAGCTCCGTTTTACTTTGTCGTCACAAATTATAAAGAAAATTGTTATTATTTAAAAGATTTAAATAATAAAATAATTATTTTAATTTAAAAATCAAATTTCAAATTAACAATCATTTAAATAATAAAAATGGATATGTAATATTTTAGTTTAAAATAACAGTTATTTATTTAAAAGAGTAAAACTGAAAAGAAAAATGTGAATAGGGAAAAATGGATCCTTTAAATATAGATTCTAATTATTTATTTATTTTATATTATCCCTAAAATTAACCTATATAATTAGAAGATAATTGTACACTAAAATGAAGTGGTCTCAAACTCTTTGATTAGATTCAAAAATAGTTGACCTACTCATAAATTGCAACATTAATTTTTTATCATTACATGTAAACACATAAAGAGGTTGACAAACAAATAAAGAGATATTTGTTAACAAAAGCATAACGTATGGATGACGCAATTCAGGACACGTCCATGCAGGGAGTTTTAATTTATTCAGATAAGATAAGCTGTTAAAAAGGTTATTTAATCAAATGCAGGTAAAATAATTTTATTAAAATAAATAAAAAAAGTAAAACATGAAACTGTTTCAATTAACTTAAAACAAATGAAAACAAATAGAAAATATTTTTTTATTTATTTTAATATACTTTTATACAGTTATCTATATGAAAAAATAATTAAATCCATAAAGAATACTAATATCTCCATTTTTTATGTATTTAACTTTAAATTTTGATATTTTTCAAATATTTTTATAAATATTATATATATATATAATTACTTTTATTATCAACGATACTTTTAATTATACTGGAATATTTCATAAAAGCATCCCATAAAAACTTTTATAATAAATAAATTTGTGGAAATTAAATACTATATAAATTAAATAACTTTATAAAAAATTAATATTAAAATTCTCAGAGCTAATGCGAATGTTTAATTTAAGCAAAATAAAATTATATAAATTAAACATAGTTTTCTTTATGAAATAATCAAATACTATGATTTATTCAAACAAATTAATGAAGTAATACAATGTTGACGATAAAACAGAGACAAAATAAAGAAAAAACATTTACAAACTGAGTATTTATATATTTAGTAAAGTAAAAACAGCTAAATAAATAGAAGTTATCCAATTTAATTGATTTAATAAAAAAAGTATAACAAATTTTACTCTTATGATTTTCTTTTTCTATTGACATCAAATATACCATATTAGATCATATTTGACAGGTAATAATATTTATGGGGTTGCTGTTCTTTGAAGTAATTTTTCCATTGGAGTAGTCTTACGTAACATTTTAAAGTAGTTTGGAAATTTCTCATGATTGTTTGAAGCAACTCATTTATCTATCTTGTGTGACACTCTAGAGTTGATTAAAATTTTCCAACTTGTTTTTTTAAGTAATTTAAAGCAAATTAACTTTAAGAATAAACATTATTCCTCTTGTTGGAAGAATAATTCTTTAATACACAATAATGAAATTAAAAATTAGAAATATAATATTGTGAGTTGTTTGAAATTATTTAAAGTTTCTTCTAATGAAATAAAAACCAAAAGTTACGTTTTCCTATTCAAAAATGAGAATACAAATAATATTATTTTAATTAGAAGAATAAATTTATTACATTCAATAATAAGGGTAAAATGAAATCGAACGGTTAGTATTTTAAAAGTTCTTAAAATTCGTTCTATTAGAGTAAAATTAAGTATAAATTACTTAATATAATTCCATTTATTGAAAATATAAATAATATTTTGTAATTTATAAAAAAGAAACTCATATAAGTTATTACTGATATAGAAGAACCAAAAACTTTATTTTCTGCAAGAATAAAGAAAAATCTCTTGGAATTTTTTTTAAAAGTTATTTAAAAAAAAACCGCCACTTATTATAACTTTGAACACATTTCGATAATTTTTTTAAGAATAAAAATTCTACCTTTTTAAAGAAAGTTGAAGTTTTTTTTAAGAAGCTATTTACAATAACATAATTTAAAACAAAAAAGAACACGTGTTAATTTTTATTAAAAAACACTTTAAAATAGATCATTCTACAGTCTTATTTTTCTTAAACACAAAGAAATACATTCATTGTTGTACCAATCAATTGAGTAAAAAAAAAAAAACTGTAGGAGGACCGCATGGGATAAAAAAGTTTTTGAAGTAAGGCGGAAAGTTAATGGAGAATGATCGATAACTACTAAGATGGTGCAAAGAAAATGCTCTTTCGAACAACCATATTCAAGTCATCAATATGTGTCTCCCTATCTTTAAGTAACTTTATGCATAATCATATATAATAAGATTAAATATATTTTTATACTTAGAAGTACAATACGAAATTAAAATTTATTATTTGCTCAAATATATTTTAATTTTTAAACTTTTAAAATATTATGAAAATAATAACTTTTAACTTGATTATTTAAAATATCTGACATACTAAACGTGTTTTTTAACTTATATAAATAAAAAAGAAACTACTTTTATAATAACAGTTGTATCGTCCGGTCCTCTAGACCATAAATCGAGCGTCACTCCCAGAGACCGATTGAACGCTGAACGACTCCCCACCCAGGTCATCATCATGACCGAGTGTCCAAACTAACGTTGTTCGACCATATATAGACCGAGCGGTCCTCCAAGATCGGCCATTCAGGTCGGCCATCAAGACCGAGCGTCCAAGCTAACACTGTCCGACCACACATAGACCGAGCGGTCCTCCAAGGTCGCCCATCTAGGTCGGCCATCAAGACCGAGTATCCAAACTAACGTTGTCCGACCACACATAGACCGAGCGTCCAATGTGACCGATCAGCAAAGCCGAGTGGCCGACCACCCAGGTTGACATCCCTGGCCGACCACCCCTTCTGACCGACCGTCCCGACCGACGTCGACTACACGGTTAGACATTAATGACTCATTAAAGTCCTTAATGAAGATTAATGTATGATTGGGCCGTTATCAGACCCACGAAAGGTAAAAACCCATTACAATCTGTATAAATAAAGGTTCCAGGTATGATTTCTGGACAGATTGCTTACGATGTAATATATACATGCATTACAGACCACTCGGTCATGTTACTGACTTAAGCGTCGGAGTGCCTTTCACAGTTACCCGACCGCCCAGCTTGAAGAACGAGGAGAGAACAAATACTACAACCAGGACTTGAAGACGAGAGAGTCCGTTCGACCTTTCCCAGCACGTCCAACCCTTAGCAAAGAAGTAACCGTCCAGTTTTTGCCAACTTCTAATACTTCCTAAAGACGGAATCATTCGATCAGTTTCGGTTCGTGAGATTCAACAACATCCGCCCAATCTCCAGCAAACTCGTATTTTAGCATCATCGTTCAGATCTGACCGAAACAACAGTAAATTTTAATTATGTGAAAAGTCGAGGGAAAGACATATTGAATAATATGATAAAAAAATTGTTAGAAGAAAAGAGAGACAGAAGGAGGGGATTTTGATGAAGAAAACGTCGGTTGCTTCACCTACCGCATAGTGGTCCCACAATCCATGGTGCTTGCTGAGTTGTTGGCTACGCCAGCTTTATATGCACACACATCTTCCCAGAATAACTCACCAACAAACTCCAATCCCACTCATCCATTTTTCTTCAGTGTTAAAACTCTCTTCAAGAACAATAATTATTATAAAAAAATGGGTAGCCTTGAAGAGGAAAGAACAACTGTAGGATGGGCAGCAAGAGACCCTTCTGGGATTCTCTCCCCATACACCTACAATCTAAGGTATCTTTAACTTCCATCTTTTTTTGACTCTTCCTTCAATACTTAGTATTTATAATTTTATCCTTATTGTTGTCATTTCATATGTTTAAAACATTTTTTGCAGAAACACTGGCCCTGATGATGTTTACATCAAAGTTCACTACTGTGGAATTTGCCACTCTGATCTCCACCAGATTAAAAACGATCTTGGCATGTCCAATTACCCCATGGTCCCCGGGTACATGCACTCATTAACTCGCTCACTAATCATGCTTGTTATTTCTGTTTTTTTTGGTTGTTTACCATTGATGAATTTTGCTCCAGACACGAAGTGGTCGGTGAGGTACTGGAGGTGGGGTCAAACGTTAGCAGGTTCGGAGTTGGTGAAGTTGTTGGAGTTGGACTCCTCGTAGGTTGCTGCAAAAACTGCGGGCCATGCCAGTCAGACATTGAGCAGTACTGCAGCAAGAAAATTTGGTCTTACAATGATGTTTATGTGGATGGAAAGCCCACTCAGGGTGGCTTTGCAGAAACCATGATCGTCGAGCAAAAGTAATTTATTAACTACTGTTTCAAAAATTAACCTTTTAAGAGTTCCATCTGCAATCTTAGTCTAGGGTATACCCATTTAAACTTTCATTACAAAAATTAACATGGTATGTAGAATAATTTAAAAATTGTCGGTAACATGGTGAAGTTAATTTTTGGGTGTTAGGTTTGTGGTGAAAATTCCAGAGGGTTTGGCGCCAGAGCAAGCTGCACCATTGTTGTGTGCTGGTGTGACTGTGTACAGTCCACTGTCGCATTTTGGGTTGAAAGAGAGAGGGCTGAGGGGTGGAATATTGGGGCTTGGAGGAGTGGGACACATGGGGGTGAAGATAGCAAAAGCATTTGGTCACCATGTGACTGTGATAAGTTCTTCTGACAAGAAGAAACAGGAGGCACTTGAACATCTTGGAGCTGATCAATATCTTGTTAGCTCTGATGCCACTGCTATGCAGGAAGCTGCTGATTCACTTGACTACATCATTGACACTGTGCCTGTTGGTCATCCTCTCGAGCCTTATCTCTCCTTGCTCAAACTCGATGGCAAGTTGATCTTGATGGGGGTCATCAACACCCCTCTGCAATTTGTTAGCCCCATGGTCATGCTAGGTAATCATGACACCTCTTTCTTGCTTTTGGGAACTCATTATTATCACGTTTTATTGATTTTGCAATGTAAATGATGTGAGTTTGTGTCGTGCAGGGAGGAAATCAATAACTGGAAGTTTCATTGGAAGCATGAAGGAGACAGAGGAGATGTTGGAGTTCTGGAAAGAGAAGGGACTGAGCTCTATGATTGAAGTGGTGAACATGGATTACATTAACAAGGCTTTTGAAAGGTTGGAGAAGAACGACGTGAGATACAGGTTTGTTGTGGATGTTAAAGGGAGCAAACTTGAACAGTAAAAAGATGTTGCTCTGAGCATCTTCGATCATGGAGGAGAGTCTGTCCGGCAGTTAAAGTTGTGTTTGTTTATTAAGAAGAGTGCTCTGTTTTCTCTGCTTTAGCTTCACGCCTTTCATTAAATATTTTATATGAAAAATTCTGGTGGGAAGGGTTTTGTTGTGTTAAATATTGATTTGTTGGTTAATGAAAAAAGAGAGAGAAAAAGTGGATGAGTGGATTACCAAATTGAGTTGCTTGACCTTTACCTAATCTTTGACAAAGAGACATCATCTTCTCTGAGTCACACGTATGAATCCAAAATATCATCTTACCTTAAAGATTCTTTCTAATCTTCCTTGTGATTCTGCTGTTCTGTCCTCTCATGTGGTCGGCAATTTATGTAGCTAATGAAGGAAAAAACTATAATTATTATATATGCAATTTTTTTTAGTTCAACTATTCTATTAATGTTTTATTAATACTCAGGGCATATAAGATTAGTTTCAAAATTAAAAAAAAAAAACTATGAAAAAGTGATGGACTTAACTTTTCTTATTAAAAAAATTAACTATTATTATTTGTCAATAAAGAAAATATGTATTTTAGTGATAGTTTTACAATTGAAGTTTCTTTTTTGACCACGCAGAGATATCATATAATTATTTTTTAAAATATAAATAGAGAATAATGTCATATGCAAGTTTTGTTCATTGATAAATAAACCACTAAACTATATTAGTTTTAAATATTTTAGACTTTACTATAGTTTCTTTTTAATATGCAATGTTTTGATTTCATTGAGTTGTAAATCTTAACATATATTCATTTACGGTATTGTAAAAAATATTAATTAACAAAAATATAAACTATACGAGAAATACATATACAATATATAGAGAGAGAGAGAAAATCAAATATGTCTAGTTAAAAAATTATAAGTTAAATAAAATAAATAAAGGAAAATTATATTTTAACGAATACGATATTAAAATGAAATTTAATTAGGTATATGATAACATTTAATGTCATTGGACTTTGCGTCATGTCAGGTGGTGTATTTCCGACTTGGCAGTTTATTATTTTTCACGCAATTAATGATCGATTGCACATGTTTAAAATGATTTATATATTATGTGTTTTTTTTACACATTTTAAATAAGTTATGTCATTATGCATCATTTATTTGATTTTTTATAATTTAAACAATTCCTTTCCTCCGTAACTTATATTTTAAATTTATGCATGATAAACAAATATAACGTAAAAATAATAATTTAAAAATGATAATGATTTAAAAAAATGAACTTGATTATTTTAAAATTAAAATATAATGGTGGTGTGAGAAATAAGTTTTATTATTTTAAAATACATAAATCTTTTAGAAATTATTTTTTTAAAGTTTTTTTATTTCTTCTTAGAAGTTTATATCTCTTGTTTATCTGTTTGAAGATCAGAGATCATATGAGTGATTCTCGCGACAACAACTTCAAATCTAGTCGATCAGTTTCTCATATAGAATAAGTTGATTTTCTGTTTTTTTTCTTTAATCAAATTTGTTTTCCTTACATACTAGTTCTCTTTGTTTTGCATGAGGTTTAAGTATTCTATAAGACTCATCTTTGTTGATCAGTGGTCCTAACAGAGTATTCTAGTCATGTTTATGTGGTTTATAGGAGCAAATATGAATTCTTGTAAGTTTGAGTTGTTTTATGATTTATAGAGCGGTTTGATTTTCTGTCAGGTAAAGGAAACTAATAATTGTTTTAATTTTGTGTTAAGAAATATGTAATTACGTTTGATAGAGCATGAGATGTATGTTTGACTAAATATGTTACAATTTAAGTAAATATGTATCTATTGATGAATATTGTGGTGTGTGTTTGTTAAATGATGCTTGCTTGAAGATGTGAAGATGTTGTTTGGAATTATATAAGATATAAATCTATTATAGTTGATAGTAGTGAAAATGAAGTGTTGTTGGATTGATTTTTGATCTAAATTGAGATTTTGGTAGGTGAACTTTTGAAAGAGTAAATTTGAAACTATAATTGATGTTGGGGAGTTGGTTTTAGATCATTACAAACATGTTTACGACTTTAATTAACCGTAAATCTATTGTTGAGTTGGTAAGTAGTCAATGTGTTGAGTTTTAGGTCATTTTTGGTTCATTTTAGGGGTTTGTGAAAGTGAAGATTTGGGATAAAACTGAAGTATAAAGGAGTAGGGTTGTGATAAAACTGAAGACTTTGGGTTAATTGTGACTTATTTAGACCCTTAGTTTGTTAAATTCTGGTTTATAATGTGTATAATTGGTTATAGGAGTTTTTGAGTGGTTGGGTTGATCTAGTGCATCTTGTTTCTGACCAAATGAGCATAAAGGTACTAATTTTCATTAATAAACATGTTTTTGCATCAATCCTAGTGTCAAAGAAGTCAATTTGATCATTTGGATAGGTTCAAGGTGCATTTAAATCGGAACAACAAGTTGTTGTCATATGGTATGGTAATGAACGACCATGTGTGGCACTCAGCGTTGCCAAAACAAAGAGTCATTGAGCTCCAGGACCCTGAGCACCACTTTTACAATGGAGTTTGGATACTGGTCAAGCTCGCTAGGCGAGCAATGTGTCGCTAGGCGCCGGAATGCTAGCACTGAGTGCAATATTGGTTTGTGTTTTCTTTTCTCTTGTTTCTTATTTAGTTTCTAGCTGTATTGGTAATTTAAAGTTTTTTTATTAATAAATATTGAATTATATGATATTTATGCATAAAATTATGTATGTGATAAGTATGACTTGAAAAGAGTTTCAATGAAAAATTCTTAATGACTGTTTCCATTAACGTTGTTGTTTCAATATAAATAGATAGAAAGATGAATATTTTTCAATATTATTTAATTTTAAATATTGATTTTAAATTTTTAGATTTGAAACCAAATAAATTAAAATAAGAATAGGAAAAAAGTTTTGCAATTTCTTATTTTTCAAATTCAATGAGTTATTTTTTAGATATTATAAACTTTTTTTACGAAAATACAGAGTTAGTGTCGAAACGTTGAAACTACAAAATGATATTAATTTTCCCCCATTCTTATAAAATTGTATGGATCTTTTAAATTGTTTATGTTTTAGTAGTTTTTTTTTCATTTCTATTTTATCATCTCAACCACCTCGACAAAAACATTTAAGAATATTGATTACTACAAGTATAAATAATTTATTTTCTTTACACACCGGTAATTAAATTGTATATTGTTATTTCATGAATTACTTCATATATTTATTCAAAGATAATAATAACAAGTGAGAGAATGATAGTGTTCATATGACTTCAAATAGTGTTCATAAGATTTTGTTTTCTTAAATTTAAAATAGTTACATAATATTTATAATAATAAAACCAGTTTTACAGCTATTTATTTATTTTTATTGGTAAGTAAATTGAATTCAAGTATATTTTGAAAGTTAAATCATATTTAAAAAATTTAGAATTTAATTAAATAGAAAAATATAAAAAAATTGAATTGATAAATGATAATGAAATTTGATATTGATGTCAGTTAACATTGACACCTTAACAATGTCACATTACATGACACACACCTATCACATGTAATTTTTTAAAAAAAAAACATAAAAAATTAAAACATTTAATTAAAATTAAAAAAATATATTATGAACTAACATTATAAAAATGATGTTAACATCGTTTATAGAAATCTAACAAAAAGAACAATTATTTTAACAATTGAGACAACAAAATATTTAAGCCTTTGTATTATATTCTTATTTATAATCAATTTTAACAAAGAGATTGCTAAGCAATCTACTTTCACTTAAGTTAAGCTAGGTTAGAGTTGGAGTAGATTTACGTCAAATCGAGTAAGATGAATTCATATTCCTCTAAATTGAGACTAGCCTACATTCAACTAAGTTGAGATAGACCAAGACAAGTCCTAGTTCAATTAAGACCAAGTTAGCCCTAGCTTGGACAAAATCAAATCAAGTTGAACTAAATAAAACTAAGTTGTCCCAAGCCAAATTGAAATTAATCCAAACTACATCGAATCAAATTAGTTTAAGCTTAATTCGATTAAACCGAGTCAACCCGAATTTAAGTCAAGTCAACTCAAGTTCAAATTAATTTAAATATAAGACATGATCATAGTTAATTGAGTTAAACTAAACCAATGCTAAGTTAGGTTTAGGTCAAATTAAACTAAAATAACACAAAACAGATCAAATCATGTTTAACTTAGACAAATTGGACCGTCAAGACATCAAATCACGACTAAGTTTACCTAGATTCATACTGAACTAAATCAACTTAACTACAAAGACCAAAATACAAAATTACAAATATGAAAATATTAAAATCATTTCTTTTTAGATAAAATTTAAAATTGTTTAATTTTAAGTAATTCAATTACTCCGATAAAATTCTAAAATTTTAATTCCATTCAAAATTTCTTACCAAAAGACATGTTTTGTTAAAAAACATTTCATATTATCTAAACAAGATAAATTACCCTGTTAAAATGCTTTATCCAAATACACTATTAAGATAGTATCCTATAACCATGCTCAAGTATCTTTACCCGGATGACTCACATCCAAATCATACACGTGCTTAGACATTAGGTAACACATATTTTGCAAACATCACTATCCTACGGGTTTAAAAATTGAGTTGCCCATTAAAATAGTTTTATAAGTAGCCCGTACTCGCCATTGAACCACGAAACACCTCACAGTGAAGCAATATTCAGTCAGATAACATACATAACCAGCAAATATCATACATACAAAATGCTCCCTCCCCGGCTTTGATCAGCTCCTCCCTAACTCTTACTGGTACCTGGCTCGAGTGGCTTCTAATGAAACTAAAAGTTAACAATGACTCCTTATGTGACGAGCTAATGGGAAGACCTTTCATTTAAGTATCTAACCTCATCAAAAAGAATATATCAATATAAATTGTTCTTTGTCGGGAGGAAAGCTACCGGATTGACAAAGAAAATTCATTACAATGAGTATATTCATTTGAACAAATATTCTATCTAATAACTGTAAAAAATACACTGACTACCCTGACTTGCTACAGTCCAACTTTGATTGGTAGTAGTATTAGAAGGCCTAAAATGAGACATTGCTGGGCCAATGCATTCTTCAAACAAACAATCAAACATTCATCAAAGCCTTCTCATGTGATAGTTTTCCGAATACTCTATAACCTCAAGGACACCGATAGGTCAAAAGTTCTAGCTGGAACGATCATATTTGTCGACTGAAGTACATGTTCATAAAGTATCTAGATGGATTGAAACCACTTAAAATCA